ACATGACAAATCTGTCACTAAAGCATGATATTGTGGTAGCTGGGGACTTTGGGCATCATAATGCACTCTGGAGCTCTGTCTCTGCCAAAAGTAGAGCAGTCGATTAACAAACGTGTGACTTCCCTAAATAATCATTTCATGCTTCAAAAGTTGGAGGAAGTGACAAGGGGAACCGCTATTACTAGCTTTCTCCTGACCCACACGGAGGAACTTGTTATTGAAATAGAAATACAGGAACCTTGTGGGCAAAGGATTGTAACATCACAGAGAGATGAACAGGACAGGCCAGTCAGGCACAGGCTGATTGATACCTCACTTTGCAGAGGGAAGCACAAGCATTCAGGCAGGGATAGAGGTTGTGCCTTGACTTCAGTGACACAACTTGGAAATATTAGAACCAGGACTCCCCACTCCCCACCCCCCATCCCAGGCTTTTGGCTTCCAATATGAGGGATCTTTCCAATCCAGCCTACTTCCTCCCCCACAGATGGACCTCTGATATAGAACAAAAACAAAACTCTCAGGGCAGTTAGGTCTGGGCTACAAAAATGGTTGTGTGGTCATATATTTAATGTGCTTTCTTTTCTTACTTCCTCTACAAAGGGTCAGCATGGTACAGTGATTAGAATGCTAGCCTTGAAACTAAGAGAGACCTTAAAAGTGTCTTTCTATCCCTTCTTCTGACCACTATGTGAGTGCTTGCCTTATGTGAGTTCTCCATAAAAAAATCTTCTTTGGCAAGGGTATATTTGGCATTCAAACAATGTGGCCAGCCCATCAGAGTTCTCCTCTCTGCGGTAGAGTTTGAATGCTTGGCAATTTGGTTCAAGAAAGGACCTCAGTGTCTGGTATCTTATCCTGCCAGGTGATCTTCAGAATCTTCCTAACACAATTCAAATTTTGCCTAAAAGACTCTTTTATGGAGAACTCACACAGGGAAAGTGCTCACATAGTGGTCTGAAGAAGCAATACAAGGACACTCTCAAGGTATCTCTTAAGAATTTTGGAATTGATTGCATGCATGGGAGACACTGGCACAAGACTACCCAGGATGACGAGCCCTCATCAGAGAAGGGACTGTGCTCTATGAGAAAGCAGAATTAAAATAGCTCAAAAGAAACATGAGATGCACAAATTTAAGGAGCCCACTCCAAATGTTCACACAGACTATTTGTGATAGAGCATTCTGAGCTCATATTGGTCTGATCAGCCACAGTTGGACGCGTTGTGATGCGACTTTAACGTAGCGATGTCCTTTTCGTCCTCTTCAAGAACGAAGGACAACAACTAACCAACCAAGCCTTGAAACTACAAAAACTTGGATTCAGGGACTACCTCTGATGAATGTTGGTTTTGTGACCTTGGGCAAATCATTTAATCTAGGCCATAGGCATCAAACACATCCCCAAGGGGTCCACAATACACTCCCAAGTGGGGCGAAACTGCATTAAAATGTAATTGGGAAATATTTAACAAAATAAATAAAAATAAAATAGAACACAGGTAATGTTAATATGTGGTTTTCTAAGGCAATATGTGACCTTTGGGGACCCCTAGGCATGGTTTGGTTGTCCTTTAGTTTGACATCATTTCTCTCGGTGACTCTTATGAGAGGTCGGGTTTCTCCCTAGTACTTTTGTCACAAGCCTCCATCCAGTGTACTCCCCATTGGTTACCAGCTAGTCACATTTAATTAGCTTTTAGAAAAGGGTATTACTGAGAACAGAAGAATTTATGACCAAATAAGAGATACAGAACATTATGAAATGCAAAATGGATAATTTTGATTACATTAAATTGAAAAGGTTTTGCACAAACAAAGCCAATGCAATTAAGATTAGGAGAGAAGCAGAAAACTGGGAAAGAATTTTTACAACCAATGTCTCGGATAAGGGTCTCATTTCTAAAATACATAAAGAACTAAGTCAAATTTATAAGAATACAAGTAATTTCCCAATTGATATATGGTCAAAGGATATGAACAGGCAGTTTTCAGATGAAGAAATAAAAGCTATCTATAGTCATATGAAAAAATGCTCTAAATCACTATTGATTAAAGAAATGCAAATCAAAACAACTTTGAAGTACCACATCACACCTATCAGGTTGGCTTACATGACAAAACAGGAAAATTATAAATGTTGGAGAAGATGGGAGAAAATTGGAACATTAATACATTGTTGGTAGAGTTGTGAACTGATCCAGCTATTTTGGAGAGCAATTTGGAACTATGCCCAAAGGGCTATAAAAATGTGCATACCCTTTAACCCAGTAATACCACTTCTAGGGCTATATCCTAAAGATATTCCAAAATGGGAAAAGGACCCACATGTACAAAAATATTTATAGCAGCTCTTTTTGCGGTGGCAAAGAATTGGAAATTGAGAGGATGCCCATCAATTGGGGAATGGATGAATAAGTTGTGGTATATGAATGTAAAGGAATATTATTGTGCTGTAAGAAATGATGAGCAAAGAGATTTCAGAAAAACCTGAAAAGACTTGTATGGTCTGATGCTGAGTGAAATGAGCAGAACCAGGAGACTGTTGTACACAATAACAGTCACATTGTGCGATGACTAATATTGATAGACTTAACCCTTCCCAGCAATACAAGGATCTAAGATATCTCCAAAAGTCTCATGATGGAAAATGCTATCCACATCCAGAGAAGAACTATGGAGTTTGAATGCTTATTGAAGCATACTACTTGCTCTTTTTTCCCTTCTGTTTTGTTTCTTCTTTCTTGTGGTCCCTCTTATTGGTTCTAATTCTTCTTTACAACATGACTAATGTGAAAATACATTTAGTAGAAATATATATATATATATATATATATAACCTATATCAGATTGCATTCTGTTTTGGAGAGGGAGGTGGGGAGGGAGAGGGAGAAAATGTAAAACTCAAATGCTTATGGAAGTGAATGTTGAAAACTAAAAATAAATTAATGTAAAAAAATTTTAAAAGTCTAAAAAAAAGAAAAGAGTACTACTAAAGTGTCTTAGTAAGCACAGTTGGTACAAAAACATTTTCCCAATCAAAGACCTACTCTCACCCACATACAATTTTCCTGGGGTTAGTTGGCTCAAATATAGATGCCTAAAGGGTAACTCATAACTCTTCATTATTATATGTGCTCATAACATCCTCATGAATTCCTCTGAGATGGTGCTTTCTGTTAGGCTGTGCCTTTGCATGGTCCTTAACTATACTTCCCTCTTCTTGCTTCCTGAAGCTGCCTTTCCTTGGTATATCTACTTTGTCCTTTTTCAGGTCTGGGATGGTCTCATGATGAATGGTCAATGTACAAGTTGGGGGCAGGGAGTGTGATATTACCTTTGGAATCACTTCCCCCACCCCCATTCCCTTGAGGCCGTCTGGTCACAAGGGTTCTTCCCCTTCAAGAAAGAGGAAGCTTGACTTCTTCCCTGTGGGACTCCTTTATTTAATACACTTAGGCCCAGACAGTGTGTTTAATTCTTTCAAATAATACAAATATAATTCCCTTTTAGTACCATCTAATCACATGTAGTGGCTCAGAGCACTTCATTTCTCCCAAGTTGATTAAGAACTGATTATCAATTAGTTTACACCTTTGATTGGCTGATAGATTCAGTCCAGAAATCCGGGCGCCTGAATCCACATGAATTCTACTTATCTAGATCTTATCTCTACTTATGCCATACAAGGTTCTTGATCTCTGGGACTGTTTTATTTTCCTCAACTTCCCTGGTCTAACACAGGGCCTGGCACAAGATAGGCATCACCCATTTGTGGCATAATCTAGTCAAAGAGTCATAGAATCCCAGAATTTCAGTGTCGAAAGGGACCTTGGTATCCGTCTAGTTCAGCCCATATCCAAAAGGCATCACCACTATACCACATGTGACATTTGGTCTTTCATCCTCAGCCTGAAAAATGCTGTGAAGAGAGGACCCACCATTTCTCCAGGCTGAGCACTCTGGGACAACTCTCATCACTAGAAAGTTTTCCCCAACATCAAACCTGAATTGGTCCATTGCTCCTGGTTCTGTGCCTTGGGACCAAACAGGACAAGTGTCATCCCTTCAACACATTAGGCCTTTAAAGACTTGAACATGGCTGTAATTCCCCCCCATCCCCCAGTCTTCTCCCATTAAAATTCTCTAATCCTCATATGAAACAGACTCAAGACCCTTCGGCTTCCTGGTTACCCTCCTTGGAATTATCTCCCACTTGTACATCTTCTTAAACTGTGGAGCCCAGAAATTGCCATATGACTCCCATTGTAGTCTGACAAGGGCCAAGTGCACCTTATTCATGTTATAGATGGAAGGGATCCCAGAAACCTTCTAGTCCCAGAAACAGGATGTTATAGTAAGAAAGGACCTTAGAGACTCTCTGATCCATTACCCACTCATCCCTGTTTTATAGATAAAGAAACTGACACTTAAAGAAGACTATAAACTTGGGAGTAGTATAGCCAGGACCCAACATCAGGTATATTACTTTAAGCTCATCTTACACCCCAAGGCCTCTCTGGTTATAGGCAGCCTGTCTTGTCTGCTCTACTAGAATGTAAGCTGCTTGAGGATGCAGGCTACAGCTCACTGTTTCTTTGTCCCAAGCCTCAGTACAGGACTACTTGGGGTGGAGTGAGGGGAGCAGGGGAATATTTTGTAAGCAAATTCCTTTTCATAAGAGATTGCCAAGCCTCAGGCCACTCTCTCTTCTGTTCCCTCAGCCTTTTGACTCCTTAAGCAAATTTCGCCCACCCTCAAAACAGACAGTTCTAAGGATGGGGCTCAAGTGAATCACCCTTGAGGCTGCTTGCTCTAGTGGATAATGGGCTGGATTTGGAGTCAGGACAACCTGGGTTTGAATTTCACCCACTGACTTGTTGTGTGACCCTGAGCAAGACATTGTCTGGGCCTTAATTTCCAGATCTATGTCTCTGGCACTGGTTTTCCAGAGACTTGTCCGCTTCTCCACCCACCCCAGGGATCCCCAATGCCTCACCCTTTTCAGTCTGAGGTACCATGTTTCTCTGGGTCATGTTTTCTGAGATTCCCTCTCTGTCTATCTTGTCTTCTCCTTAGGAGCAGCCTGGTCAGTGGGAGTCCTTCTTGACTCTGGGTCTTGGTAGGGAGAGCAGTAGCTTTGCCCTCATCAGAGCAATGGAAGAGGAAATGACAGATCTAGACATCCGGCTCCCTTACTTCCTCCCCATTGTTCCAGTAGAGATCCTATATAAATCAGTGCTGGGTAGGCCCAGAGAGAGGGTGTTCCTGGCTGTTCCCCATGCTTTAAACCTGAGTCAGTGGGTTTACTTCTCCACCATAACTGTGAAACCACAAGGGTCTGTGGTAGGAAGGAAAAGAAGCCAATGGGTCAGATTGGTAGGCAGTGTGGAGTGGTGGAAAGAGCACTAATTTTGGAGTCAGGGCATTGTTATGTGTGTGTGGTGTGACCAAGAACGAGTCATTTGAACTCGCTGCACTTCAATTTTCTCAGGTGTAAAATGGAAATAATACCTATATCTTACTAGAGTTAGTGTGGATCACTGGACACAATGTCAGGTCTGGCATGAAAAAATCTAGTTTCCAATCTTGGCTTCAGCCCTAAGTGACTTGACTCAGCTCTATGATTTCTGGATAATTGGTCACGGAACCTGCCTCCTCGTCTGTATAATGAACATGTAGAAATATCTCTTACAAGACTTTCAGGAGTATCATGGATTTGGAACTTCAAATCAGTCAGTCAGTAAGCATATATGAACTACCTACTATGTGCTAGGTGCTGTGCTAAGTGCTGGGGGATCCAAAGAAGGGTCAAAGACAGTCTCAGTTCCTGAGGAGCTCGTGGCCTAATGGAGGCCAAACAAGCTATGTACAAGATAAGTTGGAAATAACCAACAGAGGGAAAGCACTAAAATTAAGAGGAATTGGAAAAGTCTTCCTGTGGAAGGGAGACTTTTAGCTGGAGCTTAAAGGAAGCCAGGGAAGCCGGGAGCCAGGAGCTGGAATGTTACTGGATAGAAGAGCACATGGGGGAGTGCCAGGTGTAAGAAGACTGGAAAGAGGAGGGTCTAGGTTCTGAAGGGCTTTGCATGACAGATTTTATGCTTGATCTCGAAGGGAAGGGGAAGCTACTGGAGTCAATTGAGTAGGGGGATGACATGGTTGGACTGGTGCTTTAAGAAGATCACTTTTGTGGCTGAATGGAGGGTGGACTGGATTAGGGAGAAATTTGAGGCAGGCAAACCCACCAGCGGCTATTGCAATAGCTCAGGGTTGAGAAATCAATAGGATATGAGGAAGTGTAAGTAGAAGAAAGAGAGAGGGAGAGACAAATAGAGAGGAGGAGGAAAAGAAGGAGGAGGGAGGAGAGGAGAGAGTAGAGAGAGAGAGAGAGAGAGAGAGAAGTTTTTGCTTTCAATGTGCTTATCTTCTAACATTCTCAGGAAAGCAGCCAGTGAGGTGATCTGCTGAGAGAATGTGGAGGTGGGAGTGATTATAAGGGCCCAAGGAGGGAGGACAGGATTTGGAATAGTCACAGTATGATAACTGAGACTATAGGATCATCGGTTTAGAGCTGGGAGGAAATTCAGAGACCATGTAGTCCAACTCACTCATTTTATAGGCAGAAAATGAGACCCAGGGAGTTTATGTGACAGTACTAGCCATAGAAGCATACAAACAATACCAATGAAGAGAAGGGGAGAACAGCTGGAGCAGCTGCTGCGGGTTCCTGGAACATCCCCCTCTCAAATTTGTCTTCCCTCAGAGCTGGCCATGAGGCTGACTGCTTTACAGTGTGAATTCAGAACTCATGTTCCTACAAAGCTTGAAGGTTTACAAAGTACCACCCTCAGCTTTCCCAGAAGGCAGGCATTCCAGGTATCATTAACTCCATTTTACAGATAAGGAAGCTGAGGCCTAGAGAAAGGAAGGTGCTTGCCCAAGGCCACAATCTAGGACAGATCACAACTGCAATTTGAACCTAAGTCTCATGGTTTCAAGCCCATGTGCTTTTTCTCCACTTGGTCGCTACAGGGACGTTGCAATGAGAAGTGTGCTGGCCTGGCAGTCAGTAGTCCAGAAGGTTAGTCCCAGCTCTGCCTCTGACTTTGTGGACCTTTAGCCATTAGTTCTCTTATCTGTGGGATGGTTCCCTCTTCTGTAAAATGGGGGAAGTGGCCTAGATGACCTTTAAGATCCCTTGCAGGTCAAACACTATGAGCTCCTCCCTCATTATATGAATACTCACTTTGTGGATTTTCTCTTTAACAAACCACCTATTTTTCACCATACATTTTTTGATTGGTGGGGCTGGGGGTGAAAGGGAGAAGGATAGGCAATACCTACCTTTTCATTCATGTAGAGAATTCCTGATGAAAAAACCTTTGGGTTGGCTGTTGAGTCTGAAATAAGCATGTATATGAAAAGTCCTAATGGATCAAAGCCAGTTCAGATGAGCGCCTCTGGCTAGGCTATGAGCATATGGCCCTGCTATTGCTTCTGTCTTTGTTATGTCTTCTCTTAGATGAAGGATTATTTTTTAAAATACATTTTATTCCCCCCAATTACACATTAAAACAAATTTTTAACATTTGTTTTTTTTTAAAGTTTTGAGTTCCAAATTCTATCCCTCCTTCCCCTCCTCCATCCCTGAGACAGTAAGCAGTCAGATATAGGTTATACATGTGCAAAATGTAAAACATTTCCATAATAGTCATTTTGTACAAGAAGACTCAAACAAAAGAAAATGAATGAAATAAAGAAAGTGAAAAATAACATCCTTCAGTCCGTATTTAAACAATATCAGTTCTTTCTCTGGAGGTGAATAGTATGCTTCTGTAGTCCTTTGGGATTTTCTTGGATCATTATGTTGCTGAGAATAGCTAAGTCATTCACAGTTCTTCATTGAACGATATTGCTGTTACTATGTATAACGTTTTCCTGGTTCTGTTAACTTCACTTTGCATCAATTCATGTAAGTTTTTCCAGGATTTTCTGAAATCATCCTGTTTGTCATTTCTTACAGTACAATAATACACCACAGCTTGTTTAGTCATTCCCCAATTGATGGGTTATTTTGGTTTGTACTTTTCTTATTATTAGTGATTTGGAATATTCTTTTGTATAGTTGTGAATACTTTGTAATTCTTCTTTTGAGAATTGTTTGTCCAATCTTTTGACCACTTATGTATTGGGAAATGACTGTTAGTAATACACATACATACATGCATGCATACATGTATGTATATATTTACTAATTGTTCATATATCTTGAATACCAAACCCTTAATAGAGAAATTTGATACAAAGATTGTTTTCCCTTGAAATCAATTCCCTTCCTCTCTTAGTTGTATTAATGTTGTCTGAGCAGAAGCTTTTTAATTTCATGTAATCAAAGTTATCTATTTTATCTCTTGTAATTTGCCATTATCTCTTGTTTGGTTAAGAATACATCTCCTAGCCACCGCTATGAGAAGCATATCATCTGTTTATCTTCTTTTTTTTAATAATATGATCTTTAACATTAAGGTATCATTTCCATTTAACATGTTTTGCAGCATATGGTAAAGGGTGTTGGTCTAAGCCTAAATTCTGTCAGACTGCCTACCCCTTTCCCCAGCAGTTTTTATCAAATAGGGAGTTCTTTCTTAGGTAATTTGTTTTCTGCTTTATCAAACAGTGAGTTAACACATTCCAGTCTATTCGTTGATCTACCTATTTTAAAATTCAATTTAATTTTATTTTCAGTTTCAAATTTTCTCTTTTCCTTCACCTCTCCTCCACCCTTTGAGAAGGCAAGAATTATAATACCCATTACACATATGAAGTCTTGCAAAACATGTTTCCTCATTAAGTATGTTTAAAAAATGCTTCAATATGCACACTGAGACTATCAGTTCTCTATATCTAGAATTGGATAGCATTTTTTCTTTATCATAAGTCCTTTGAAATTGTGGTAGATCAATGTAATTATCATTACCTCTCTCTTTTTGTTTTATAGTTTGAGGTTTGGAAGTGCCATTCCCCTTTTATCTCTATGTCTTTTAATAATTTGCTTTGATAGTCTAGATCTTTTGTTTTCCAAATTAATTTTGTAATTATTTTATCAAGATCTATAAAGTATCCCATTGGTAATATCATTGGCATGGCATTAAAAGAGTAAATTAATTTTGGTAGCATTGTCATTTTTATTATATTGACAAGGCCTAGCCATGAACAATGAATGTTCCTGCAGCTATTTAAATTGTTCTTTATTTATTTAAGGAGTACTTTGCAATTGAATCTATATAAGTCTTTTTGTGTGCTTTGAGAGTTGATTCCTGGACATTTTATGCATTTTGTAGTTATTTGGAATGGAATTTCCCTTTTTATTATTGTTTCTTGGATTTTAAAAATCAATGCATAGAAGTTCAGTTAAGTTTTGAGGGTTTATTTTGTAGCCTGAAACTTTGCTGATTTATTGTCTTGATTAGCATATTTGCTGATTATCTAGGACTTTTCAAGTATACCACAACATTATCTTTAAAATAGGGATAGATTTTTCTCCTCTTTACCTATATTTATATCTTTAATTTCTTTCTCTTGCTTTATTGCTGCTTGCATTCCTAGAACTATATCAAATAATAATGGATAGATTGAGTATTCTTGTTTCACATCTGTATTCAGTGGAAATTGTTCTAGTGTATTTGTGTCATTCTTGCTTTTGGTTTTAGATAGATGCCTTTCATGATATTAAAAAAAATCCTTGTATGCCTATACTTTGTAAAGGATTTTTTAAAAAAGCATAAATGAGTTTCAGACTTTGTCAAATGCTTTTTCTGGCTTTTTATCTAATGAGATGATCATGTGGTTTTTGATGTTTTGGTTTTTAATAAGATTAATTATGTTGATTGTTTTCCTAATGCTAAACCATTCTTGTATCTCTGATATCAATCCAACTTGTCATAATAATTGATTTCTTGGATAAATCACTGTAGTTTGCTTGATAGGGTTGGTTTAAAAGTTTTTAATTGATATTCATTAATGATATTGGTCTATCTTTGACTTCTGTGCTTTATCCTTCTCTGGTTTAGTTACTAGGGCTATATCTGTCTCATAAAAGGATTCTCATAGAGTGACTCCTTTCTTAATTTTTAAGAGTAACTGTT